TATACAAGATGATTTAATTTATTTTCTTATTTTGAAATAATAAATAATCATAAATAAATTATAAATTTATACTTGGATGAAAATACCTACATCTTGGTTTGTTTTTGATAACAACTAAGAAGTTTAACTTATCTATTCTGAACTTGATTTGTTCATAAATAAATGGAAGTTTAAGAAACAATAATATTGCATTCAATATGCTTTTCTCTTTATATTTTTGAGCTCATTATTATTATTTTATAAGTTCTTCTTGAATTTTTTTAACTCATATACCTTTCTTAGTTAATTATTTTTCACAATCAAAATAGAATAGTGCTTTTCCTTTTTATTGAGTCAATACTTTATCCATGATGTGTGTATTTTTATCCTACAGCGATTAAGAATTTTTATCAAAGTCTTTCAATTCCTACTTTTCAGTTGGTTAGACCAATAAATGATTCAATCCTAAACTAATACATTTATAAGATTTTCCCTTTATCGGTTTAGTCAGCTCTTCTAATATAAATACTGTGATATAATAACATATTTAGGGGTATTGTCTCTGGACAATGCTTTTTCTGTACAAAAAATTTTGATGACAATATCCTAATGATCCATTAAGGAATTCTAATAACACTAGAATTTAAAGATTTTTATCTGTTAAACATATTAATAATATCATATCTGACGATTTATAATGCTTGTAAATTGTAATAAATATATTAAAATACAGAGAGAATCTTGCTAAATTTATTTAAAAAAAAATTTTTAATTGAATTACTTTTAAAATTTATTTAAAATTCATGAATTAATATTTTAAAATTTTGATTATAAAATAATAAAATGAATGCAATAAAATCATATCATTTATTTTTTACACCATATTGATTTCAATATGCTGGATTTGACTAATTGATTAAATGGGAATGGTTTTCGAATAATAAATTCAAATCCGCATTTAACAAATAATTCTCAGATATATCCATAATTAGAACAATGAGAGTTTTTATTTAAAAAAATATTGAATAGAAAATTAATAGAATTAGAAATTAATGGAAGTTCAAAACATTAAGATTGAAAAAGGAGAACTTCTTGATTCTGGAGCTTATGGTAAAATTTATAAAGCAACAATTGATGGTGACAAAGAAGTTGCGCTCAAAATTTCAACAATTAAAAGTGACCCTAAATCTGGAGAAATAAGAGAAGAAGAGATATTAAAGATTCTAAAATGAAAGCCATTTGATCATATCATTCATGTGTTTGCTTATGAAAGGAATGGAAATGAATTGTATACAATAAGTAAAATCAGAAAAGAAATTTGAATCTCAACAATATTAATTTGAATGCTTGCTCTGCATAATTTTGTTTATTATCAATCATTTTGGACTTGTAATTAAATGAATAAAGTTTGATGATAAAAAAAATAAAAATTTTCTCTCATTTTTAGCATTCAAAAGACTTCAATTAACATATTTAAGTTTAGTGATTGGTTAAAATTGAGTAGTTAGTATAATTGGTTTAATTGATTTTTATTTACCTTCAATATGATTGTCTTTTACAAATTAAAGTTTGAAAATCCTAATAGAGGATTCTTATCATTTGTATTCAACATTATCATGATTAATTGAAATGATGAGTTTATTCAAGAGTCACTCACTTTAGTATTGAGATCAAACTTGATAATATTACAATAGGATAATAGGATAAAGAGATGACAGATTCTGTCATAATTTTTAATCTATTTTATTCGTCTTATTTATTAAAAAATACCACAAAAAAAAAATAACTCTAAAAATTTCTTACAAGGATTCGCTTCTTTCTTATTAGATGTTATCCTTATTTTAATTATTTTCCAACTTATTTCTGTAATCAACATTATTGAATAGTGTTATAAATGAAT